CACGAGACCGGAAGCCGGAAACCGTTCGGAGAAATAAAGATCGGCACTATTTCTCCGAACGTTCGGAGAAATAGTCACTTCGAAAAAAAAATGAACAACCTTGGCGCGATCTTTTATTTGATGTAATGGAAGTCAAACGTTGTTAAAATGCGGGCGTTTTGCGTGGATGATTAGAGTTACGTGTCAGCTATTTTCAAGACTACGAGTGTTTCAGCAACGCTGCAACCTTCGCTCCCCCAGTCTATCCAACTTCGACTGAGTAATATATATGCTGTCTTTCAGTTTTCCCTCTCTAAACTTTAGAGGCTCAGACGTGAACCTATTCCTGCAAAAGTTTTGTCTTGCGTTATACTTGCCTCATAAAAGGGAACCAGGACACCCCCCCCCCCCCCTCACCCCGGTGCCCTTTATGACTGATTTGCCGTTGATCCTGATTTTTTAACTCAGAAATCCTGATTTTTAGATTTCATAGTAATCATAGAGGGCCACCTCTATTCTCACCCGGGATGAGAATAGTGCAGGCGAGTCTTTTGGCTATTCTCACCCGGTGCGCGTTCACCGTATAGCCTAGATCTAGGCCAACAAATTTTGCGTTCACCCTAAACCACAGAATTCTACACTGTGATAACAGAAAAATTGTAAAATTCTGTGCCGTGAACAAACGTTCCATTACAACTGTAGCCTACTAAAAACTAAAAGCGTACAATTTTGTCTGTGGGCAGTGGAGAGAGAGAGAGAGAGAGAGAGGAGTAGCGCGAGAACTTCCGGTCAAAACAAAATGGCGACCCGCGTAGTTCTGCTCGATTCGAAAAGTTAAATAGCCGTAGCATCTTTGTAGACAACCAAATTAATTTACTTTTGTGTTATAACATCATTTTTTAACTTTGTTTTGGTCAATTTGATCGTCCACACCGATAGACAGTATTCAGAAAGAGATAGAGAGGGGAGGAGTAGATCTTGCGAGAACTTCCGGGCAAAACAAAATGGCGACCCCCGTAGTTCGGCTCGATTCGAACAGTGAAATAGCCATAGCATCTTTGAAGACGATCAAATTAGCTTACCTTTGTGCTATAACGTAATTTTTTCTTGGCTTTTATCAATTTGATCATCCACACCGATAGACAGTATTCCAAAATGAGGAAAAGCAGGTCTTGTTTCGCACCGGGTGAGAATAGCCTACACTGACAAGCCTCACCCGGGGTGAGAGGTAGATCGTTTTTCTATTCTCACCCCGGATGAGAATAGCCACTTCCATCATAGAGTGGCAGGTCTGTATATCTAGATCTATGTTTTCAATATGCCACTAAAACAGCTGAGAGGCACTAGATCTAGATTTTTCTAGATTCTAATCAGTAAGGAAGTGAAATACGATCGACCTCTCACCCCGGGTGAGACTTGCCACTGTAGGCTATTCTCACCCGGTGTGAAACAAGACCTGTTTTTCCTAATTTCGGAATACTTTCTACGAAGTGTAATCTATACAGACCCGGTAACCGGGAACAAAGTCACGAAGTATACAGACCCGGTAGAGGAACTCTTTTTGTGATTTCGGGAAGTTTCAGCCATCGATTGTTGCGCATTCTGTTGATCAGCGGATCGCGCAGCGCTTTTTGTCGATCCTTTTGGTTGCGCATTCTATAGATCTTACCCCTGAGTTTTGTTATATGTTTTGTTGTCGACCAGTGTGTAATTTAGTTTCACTCTCCAAAGCCAAACCGAAACTGAATGGAAGTAACTGGAAGTCAGGGTTACAATAACGAACTAATTGAAGTGACAATTCGAGTCCGGATAGACAAAAATTATATTAGGATTCTGATTTGTGTCCAGTATGATGTCTGTTCCGACTTTCGACCCTTGTTTCTAAATATTTCCAGTATTTATTAACATTTAAAAAAAAAATTATAATGATAACAATTGAGACGTGAGCTTTAACATCCAGTTACTAGATCTATCTAAACTGGCCCTCCCTGCGTCGATCGTCATTAGTATGAACAAAACTAAGTTGAGCTGACCTTGCCGGGGGCAAAGTTAATTGTTTCGACCAATGACTTCAATGAGACTGCGCGTAGCGATCGCACTCTCGGCTTTCGGGGAAGAGGTGTTGGGAAGGGGCCATGGCTGTCGGTTTTGTGCGATGTGATTTTTAAAAAAAATTACAGAAAAACTCAACACTCAACAAAATCAAATTAAACATGTGGAAAGACAAATATGGTGGTGGAAGTAATGACGATGCTGTTGTGGTGGTGGAAAGACCCTGAGTCGTCGGTTATCGTGTACTTAGACACTGCTATTATTGGGTAGTTCTAATGAGAGTGCAATCAGGGTTAGGCGCCTCAATACTTATAGGTCGGTGAGTATCACTCCGAACACTTATTCAATATGGAGAGGTTGGTTGTGCTCGAGATGCTTTTGTTCAAGAAAACAATACTTGTATAATAAATGTTTAATCAACACACAACAATTTATCACAAGCCATTAAATGTTGACCGTATTTGGAATATCACGTGAAGTACGCAGCCAATCACATCTGTCCAAATACTGAGTGAAGGTGCTCGATTTAACGTCGTGTCAATTTATCGGCCTCACTCAACCATCAACACTTTAAGTTCATCACACAACTCTTCTTGGATGCTCAAACCAAAGACTGACGTGCTCAGTAAACCAATTTTCTTTTTTTTTTTTAAATTCACCTCATCATCATAGTTTATCGACAGAATGCGCAGTAAGTATATATTTCACGGATCGACAGAAAGCGCTGCGCGATCCGCTGGTCAACAGAATGCGTAACAATCGATGGATTGTTGCGCGTTTCCTCGATCAGCCAATTGCGCTGGGCCGTCGGTGGATCGCGCAAATCGACAGATCGCGCCCAACATACAGACCCGGTAACCGGGAACAAAGTCACAAAGTATACAGATCCGGTAGGGGAAATCTTTTGTGATTTCGGAAAGTTTCAGCGCCCTCTTGGCTCTTCAGGGAAGAACTTAGGTTCTTCTAGATCTATGGCTCTTCAGGGAAGAACTTAGGTTCTTCTAGATCTATGGCCTAGGTCTAGATCAAGACAGACATTATATTATATATCATAGAGATGTTTTTTAGATGAATGATCGTTTTTTCCTCCGTTTTGGAGTTGGAGGAATCAATAAGACAATTTGATTCTTCCGTTTTGGAGTTGGAGGAATCAATAAGACAATTTGATTCTTGAAGAAAAGAATGTCATAATTTCAACCGAGCAGTCATCCTTTATATTTCTCTGTCTGTCTCCCCTCTTTCTGCCTCCCCCCCCCCTCTTCTCTCTCTCTCTCTCTCTCTCTCTCTCTCTCTCTCTCTCTCTCTCTCTCTCTCTCTCTCTCTCTCTCTCTCTCTCTCTCTCTCTCTCTCTCTCTCTCTCTCTCTCTCACACACACACACACACACACTCACACACATACTTTACCAGGTCTGGGAGCTGAAACTTTCTGAAATCACAAAAGATTTCCCCTGCCGGGTCTGTATATACTTCGTGACTTTGTTCCTGGTTACCGGGTCTGTATTCACTTCGTTGATGTTTTGCAGTTGTTTGGTTTGATATCTTAGCTCGCCGCGCATCAAACGTATAGATCTAGTGTATTGTAGATCTAGGCTCAAATAAGGGGGTGGGAACTACCGAAAAAGCACCCACATCTGCTCCAAACTCTTACACTTCATTCAGTATATGGCATCAGTGTGTAGATCTATACTATAGCTTTTTTTTGTGTTTTCCCAGTCGGAGACTGCTTATTTATTGCTGCATTCCATGTATTTCATTTATTTTTTTAAAAGAGAGTCTTCCAGCATCTAGAACTCTAGCCTAATGTGTAGATCTAGATTTACAAGCAGAAAGTGACTGTGACTCCCAAGTTCACACGATACCCTTACAGACAGAATGTCAACATGGCTTTTTTGCGCATGCGTTACTCATCCGCGTTTCCGTTGAAAAGCTAAACCGCACATTTAGTTACGTTTTCACTTCTGCAGCTGAGTGTTTACCTTCGCTTTTTTTCGCTTTCACAACAGTAGCACCACTGTCACCTCCCCCGACTCCTTTGTTGAGGTATATATCATAGCGCTCAGATATATATATCTCTCTCTCTCTCTCTCTCTCTCTCTCTCTCTCTCTCTCTCTCTCTCTCTCTCTCTCTCTCTTTCTCATTCTCTCAAAGGTAG